TTGCCCACCCCTGTATTTTCCTCTTTGAAACCTTAGGACTTCATAAGATGCATTTACCTTCTAAAATTCAGAATTTATGCTCCCTGGAACATTTACAGGTCTAAATTGATGATGGCCAAAGGGAGTTACTATTTTTCTCAGCCCCTGACATACGCAGGTAACAGTCTCCTCTTTAAATGTCAGGGTCTTTGTGACCCTCCTGCACAGGTTTATTAGAGGAGCTATCACCTATCTTTGCCAAATGCCTTTTCCTCATTTATATAGGTATTTCAGCCCTAAATAAATCTATTATTTGTTTTAGTTTAGCTCTATTCTGTCATTGAGTGGAGAACTTTTTTATCAGCAAGGAATGAATGCCCAAAGTGTTGTCTTCATATTCTTGCCAACATATTCTTCTATTACATGTATTAATAATTTATTGATGAATTAAAGTCTTTAAGATATATTAGAAAAATTTCAAAATCTCTTCTGCTTCAGATCCTCAAAACTTTTAATTAGAAATATTTACTTCTGACAGGTTTCCTTAAGCCAATTTTCTTTGAAAAAATCCTGTAAAAATATTTCAGCGGAGGAACAACATTATTGGAAGAGAGAAATTTTCTGTGAGAGGTAGAGGTTGAATCTAGAAATAAGATACTGAAAATCTGAAAACATTCTAAATTAGAAACTTAAATTACAAGTGAGAAAATAAAAACATCGTATGGAGTTGCTGAACATTAAAGCTAGATGGAATAAAAGGGAAATGCCAAATATAACCAGACGCTGTCTTCCACTGGCTCCAGTGTGACAAGCCTGATTTCTGAGCATCCTTGCCCCTCTTCACAGCCACACTGCGAAGAAACACCATCATCGCTTTCCAACAGGTGGGGACAGTGTTGATAATACTGCACAGGGTGGGAAAGTAGGATTAAAGAGGAGTTCAAAGAATTTTTCCTCTGTTAAATTTTTACTTTGGGATTCACTATCTAATCAATCAAGTAATCAATCCTATTTGTGAATTGATCATGTGATTTCTTTTTTTTTACAACCTATTCACTAAATAAGGAGCACTCTTCCCTGCTGTAGATTTATAAGAGACACCATGTAAACTAGAAGCAACACGGTCAGAAGGAGAGAGACTGCAGATGGAAAGATATACTGTAGTTTGCGGAGATAATCGATCACTTAGGTAACAGGAGCCGCTCACCAGGAAAAGTGAAAGGGAATTCAAATGCAAGTCTGCAGAATGGTCTTTTATCTCTGAAAGAAAGCAGGGAAAAGTGGTGGAAGTAAGATGCTAGAAAGAATGAAACAATATGGCCTTCAACCTGAAGTCAAAGCAAGATGTCAGGTTTTGTGGGAATCGGTTCCAGTCCAACAGCAGAAGCAGGCTGCTCTGGACTGTCAGCCTGAGCGGAAAGACCTCCATGCCCCGAATCAGGTACAGCTGCTGTGTCCATCCTCCATCCCAGCCCCACCCCAGCCCCAACTGCCAGTCCTTGGTGATTTCTTCTGACTTTGCTCTTGGCATCTTGGTGTCCAGACCTGACATCAAAAACTTCTTTGGCCCTGCAGCTCTGCCTCTGGGTCAGATCCAAATCTTACACTTCCTGCAAGTCCTCAGTCAGGATGAGCTGTGTTCCCAGAAGGCAAGAATATTCTGCCACAAGCAAGACCTAGGTTCGGAAGACAGCCCCTGACTCTTCCCAGCTTCAAAGACTGCTCTTGCACAGTGAGAGCGCAGTCAGCCCGAAGCCTGGAGTATGGCCTGCCTGGTTTCCCGAGGCCTCCACCCTGGCTGGGGAATTCAAGAATTAATTAGCTGACTCTAACCCAGGTACTTGCATGGGGGAGGGGGTGAAGTTCCTACTGAAAATACCTGCAGGGAGCTCTCTTATTCCAGCCCAAACCTGGGATAGGAGGCAGGAGGAGCTTTCATATTTTGATCTTTGCCCAGTTTCCCGGGCTTATTATATTCGATTGATCACCTATGCTTGGTTTTCGTCCCACCTCCATAGATACTCCTACTTAATCCCCTTCGTACCTCCTTCACCCAGTTTGGCCCCAGGACTTTTTCATTCAACACTGGCCACTTGCTCCACTCTACAGCTACAGGGTGCTTCACGTTACAAATTTACACATTATAAAACTTATACAGCATCTCAGATCTAGATTTCCTTCTGTGCTACAGACTCACACGTACCTCTGCCTATTTGATCTCTCCTTGGATATCTCAAATCTCCTCAAATTCAACATATTCAACTGAATGCTCTATTCCCACCCCCAACCCCTGCCCCATAGCCTGGTTTCCTTTGGCGACCTCTGCCTCAGCAAATGACGCCAGCATCCATCCAGCTCCACAGCCAGGACCCCAGGGCCCATCTGGACACTCTGTCCCCCTTGCCTCCCTTACTTAGTCTAGTACCACGCCCTTCAGAACTACTGCATCTACTTGGCATCACCTTCACTACTACTACTAACGTCCGGAGACTTAGGTCAGGGTGAAAAATAATAAAAGCTAATAATCACCAAAGGTTTATGACATACCAGGCAGATCCTCTTAAAACTCTATGTAAATTACCTTTTCTAATCACCCTATGTCTTAGTTTCCTAGCCCTGAAGTAACAAATTACATTCATCATCACACTAGCCTACACCACTAGCATTATGCTGCAAAATTACAGAGCAGACCAGCGCGTGGCATGACGCCTGTCGTGCAGGAGGCGCTCAATAAATAGCTGTGAGTGAATTAATGAGATCATGTCAGTAGCCTCATCAAAAGTCATCAAACATTCCACATTGATTAAAAATCACCTTCATGTTCCTCAACAAAGCTTTTAACATCCTCTAGCCCACCTAAGATTAAGAAAGAATCTTAGAATGAGACAACTTTTTGAAGCAGAGAGCCCCAACCTCCAGGCCATGGGCCGGCATTGGTCCAGGCCTGCTCAGAACCGGGCCGCATAGCAGGAGTGAGCTTGAATGTAATGCACTTGAATCATCCCCAAACCATCCCTCCTCCTCCCACCCCTTCCCCCGTCCGTGGAAAAGGTTTCCATGAAACCAGTCCCTGGTGCCAAAAAGGCTGGGGACTGCTGTAAAGAATGTTGAGGAGTCATACAAGAAGAGATTGATAAATTTGGCCACATACACATCTAAAAGTTCAGCATAGAAAAATTTCATAAACAAAGTTAAAAAAAAAAACAACGGCCTGCAAAAACACTCACAATACGTATTACCCATATGCCTAACTTCCTAAAGACACAAATAGCTCCTGAAGAAGCAGGAACCTTCATTTATTGTTTGTAGGAATGTAAACTGGTAAAGTTCCATTGAAGTCAAGTTTATAAGTAAAAATAAAAATTCATCTCCTCTTAGCATTTCTACCTCTAGGAATTTATTCTATAGATCATCTCTCATGTTGGCCCAAAACGGTTCTCTGCTACACCCTTTGCAATAAAAATGTATTGGAAATAACCTAAATGCCCACCAATAGGAAATGGTTACATCCTTGATGGTACAACTGGGACATCATGGGATATCAGGAGGCCCTTTTAAAATGAGGCATGCCTATGTGCATTAGTATGGAAGAGGTTAATTCATTTTGTAAACAACAAAAAGGACCTATATTCTATGTCTACATATGAATATTTTTGGAAGGATAACCCAGAAACTTGTAACTGTATTTGCCTTTGAGAAAACAATTGTGGCACTGATACAGGGGTAGAAGGAAGATTGATCTTTCACTGTGAACTCTTGTGTTGTTTGTATTTATTTTGACAGGAGCTTGCATCGCCCATGTGAGAGAGCGAGCGAGAGAGCCACTTTTCACCTAATTTTCCAACTTGATCTCCTACTGTACTTATCTTTCACCAGACAAGCCACTGCTTCCCAAACACACTGAGTATGTTCAGGCTGACAGTGTCTGAGTGTGTGAGGGACCGATGCTCCATCATCTCGCTGCTCACACTTTCTGCCTGTGGGGATGCGGCTCCTTCGAAACTCCGCTGTGCGACCTTCCTGGCCTTCATTGTTGGGACCAACCGCTCTTACCTCCGTCTGCGCTCAGAGAGCTCCTGGCCCTCGAATTCCAGGTCTGTTTGCAAGTTGCCACCCTCATTCAATTAGCCCTTAATGCGAAGTGCGTACCTTGCTGGCCTCTGCATTCCCCAGAGTCCCTGGGGTTTGGCATTAAGGACGTGTGTCACTAACAGGAAACATTAGGCAGAGGAGCCATTGAGGAAAACTCCTTTTCTATAATGATCCAATTTCAAGGGTGATAGGGAAAAATCTAGGCCAAATAGAGAAATCCTACTTAGCATGAATATCTGAAATAACAAATAAGTGATCCTCAAAGCTGAAAATAAGGCAAATTCTGGATATCAAATAGAATTATTGCAAGAGATGTATGTGAAATGAAATAGGAAGCTATGTTTAAAATATATTAGAGGTTCAGAGAAAAATGAAAGAAAAATAGTTTTATTTATCATACAGAAAAGATAGCTCCTGACATTTTATTTACTTATTTGTTTGTTTATTTATTTATTTTAGCCAGACACACCAGGCTTGGACATGTAACACGCAACACTGAGTCTGGTCGTGGGGCAGGCTGCCTCTCAGGGCCTCCCTCGGCCCTGCGCACGGAAGGTCCATGGCCATCCAATTCGCTCTATTGCTTATGGCCACCACCTTTTCTAAGCAAATTTTCCTAAATCATATATGTTTATAGACTTCTTTTACTACTTATTCTTTGTAGCCCTTTAACCCATTTCCTCTTGTCCTTGGTGATGTGGGAGGCCAGAGGGTCACATAACTCTATAAATTTAACTTTCATATACCCTAAAGTACTCCATGGACACTGACTATGTACTACCTTCTATAAACAAGAAAACCAGTTTTGTGTGCCTCTGGAATATTACTGTTGTGCATCAGGTCCATTTCTGTTGGCCTTATACAATGAAATAAAATACAATGAAATAAAAATTTAAAGTGGCAACAATGAAAAGTTTACTTCAACTTACTGTTAATGCTGTTCCGTACTCTCCAGCAGCCAGGTAGGCTAAGCCCAGATAATAGGAAGCTTCTCCTTCCATCTTTTTGTCATTTCCTAATGTCAAAATGTAGAAAAGTTACTGTGGCTTTAAAGAAATTGATTTACTACAACAAACAGAATATTTGCTTCTTAAGACAGTAGAAAGTTATTATAACAAAGTATACACATTTATCAACAATCCCTGAAATCTAACTATATACTGTTAAAAAAAAAAGTCGGATGTTAACACAATTTACTTGGATCACAGATGTTAAAGGGCATTAGCAATATAATTATGAGGCATCATTCTCTACATACCAAGACCAGTATTATCGATTTGCAATTTATACATAATTTCTATACTGGTCCACCACATAAAGACCTATAGTCATCAGTATAGCTGCTACTACAGACCAAGTAAGTGGTTAAGAGAACCAACATTAAATGGTGCATGGACACACATACACAAAACTGACATTCAGCCGAGCCTCTAACAGGGCAGCTAATTAGCAAATTAAGGAATTATTGTTTAATTAGGTTTAATTTAATAGCTACTGGTTATAACTTAGATGAGAATGACTGAGAGTCTGACTTGTTGGTACACTACAAAACTGCACACATGCTTTGAAATCCAAACACATTTTCCTTTGCTAATGACTGGTAATGCTCTTCATCATCTTTTCACAAGGAATTTCACCTTTCTAATCTCTATGTAATGTGTTTTATCCAGGCATTACCAAATTCTTCTTTCCAAAAGCAGAATGTGAAACATGTAACACGTGGTCCAATAAGACATACATCATACTGTCTCATAAACATACAATTTATTCACATTCACTGTACTAAATATAACATATAAATCTAATATACTTACACAAATCATTAACAATTCTTATACATAAAAAGAATAGTATCTGTTTTCTGCTTTTGGGGTCTTTGGCTTTCAGTGTTACCTAACACCTAGGTAATGCAAATGCTGACAGATGCACCCTCATTTTTGATCTTTAGAAAAAAAGTCTCAGTACATTTCTGAACTCGGCATTCCACCCTTGATGGATTTCAGCCAGAGCCAGCAATTCTCTATGCTGCGTTCACTCTCACCGCTCAGTGAATTACTCCTTGTGAAGCATGGCTCACGAGGAAACGGGGTGGCAAATGCCAGTGACAGCATCCTTTTTTCTTCTCTAGCAATTACACCAATTGCAGAGAATTATACCCTTAAGATTTCACTTGAGCAGAGTTGATAGTACCCGTGATCCAGTCTAGGGAATTTTAACTCTTAAAATTCCTCTGGGCGCTAACTTTTTCTCTGATAAAGGTCGATGAGTGCTGGGGTAGCGGTGAGATTAGGGAAGAGAAAGATGAGGCAAAAGGAAGAGGCTGAGCAGGGAAGTTGCCCTTGAACGATGAAGTCTGTTGTGTATGGTGCCTGCTGTGTTAAACAGCGCCGCTGTGCGAAAGCCCCCACGACGGTGTGCGCTGAGGGGCTGTCGTCGTTTGCATCTAATCCTGTGTAAAGGGTATCCCAGCAAAGAGGAGAAAGAAAATCTACCCTTGCTGACAGGAAGATTCTGAAGCAGCTAATTTAATTAGTTGGATCGCATCAAATATTAGTTTGAAAATAGAATTTAAGCATAAGAATTTTTCCGGCTCACTAGTTGAAACAAAGTTAAGATAACGTGAATGCAATAAAGTAATGGAGAAAAATGTCAGCACTATTAAAGATGAGAGACTCATATGGAATAAAAAGGTAAACTACTATTAATATATTGTGTAGTTTGAGTGGGTTGAGTTAATACTGGCTTTAGTATCTAAATCAACAATTATTTATCTTATAGAAAATACCATGTTTTTATTTTCGAGACTCTAGGAAGCATCCTTTTTTGTGAACTACCTTACAATTTAGCAAATGTGAAGCTAAAGTAAAAATATCTTTTCCTAATTGATACATTACATTGAAACTGCACATAACTTTTCAGGTAACTAATGTCAGCTGCTGAAATTGATCTAAGAGCCAACTATTTATATTAGTGCTTCCTCCTTGGGGAAGGTACTAGGTCACCATTCATTCAAAAGCAGTTCATGCAATGAGATACATCTTTCAATGGGGGTGATTTCCTAAGGGTATTCTAACTAATGTTATTAAAAGGCATAATAGAGAGAATAAGATGTTTACTTTAACGCTTTAATTTTAATTTTAATTTTAAAATTAAAATCAAAATCAGTCTTGCTCACTCTAAGCCATCTGTTAGTCCAATAGAGCAAATATATACATAATTGCAGGCTAAGAGCATAACTTCTATCTTTTTTCCTTCATGAAAAGGCTACTTTAATAATAAAATACCATGTGGTAGTAAAATATCCTTGCATTTCACAAAGTAAAAACTTAATGAGTACAGGCTTTGCTTTTTTTTATATTTTCTGTATATGCAAATGGTATAGAATATCAAGGATCAGCTTTCACAAAAGTGTTTTTTTACTGCTGTAAATGTGCATGCAAACCCCCTGGGGATCTTGCTAACCTGCGATTCAGATGCAGTAGGTTCTGGATGGGGCCTGAGATGCTGCTTTTCTTACAAGCTCCCTGGTGATGCTGATGCTGCCAGTCCACAGGCCACAATTTGGTAGGCAAGAGTCTAAAATATATTAGAGTTCTATTTCCTGTTACCCCTAACTAAATATTTACCATATCTTCCCTATTACCTGACAACAGGGAATTTACAAACGATGAAACGTCTCTCAGATTGTAAGAATAGTAAGACCTTATGCACGTGCGCGCGCACACACACACACACACACACACACACACCCCCACACCCCCCCTCCCTTAACTTTCGCAAATGACCTTACTTTCTCATTATGGGTTCATTGTTTTATAACATCACTCCCAGAAGGTTGTAATTTTGGAGATAAAGCTTTCAAGAAACTAATGGATTTCTTGTTGTCAGCACTGAGGCACCTCTGTTTTACAGTGAAATTTCGAAGTATATTGATGGCATTTGTCTTTGCATTTCGTAGGAAATAATCACCCAAACACTGACGATTTTTATGTCACTCCTGGGAGAAGCAGCGTCTGCCCATTAAAGGAAGCAATGTGAGAGTGTTCTTTTCCACTTACCTTCTTTGGCTATTTCAGAGGCTTTTATTAGAATTCTGATGGCCTGTTTGTAATCTTTATTTTCCAGCATTTTGTCTGAGAGTAATCTGTAAGTCCTCAGGAGACTCTCGCAGGCCAACAAGTTGAGGAGGCAGCCTGTCTCATCCTTCCATACCCGCCCTTGCGTCAATTGATGGAATACTTCATAATGCTCGGCAGCTTCCAGGAGCTGACCTGTAGAATAAAAGCCATTCATAAACATAAACCACAGGCCAGACTATGTTTTCAAAAATTTGGTGTGCATCTTATGTTTCACTATTAAGGGGTGAGGAGGGGACATGAAATAGAGGCAAGGATTTCTAAGGCCGAGGAAGACTGAAGCTGGAAAAGGAGCTATCTCCATTCAGACCTCAGATTTGAGCGTTGATTTTGGATGGACACCTGCTAGAGGGATGTGCTTTGGAGAAACTGACCAGGATTACGGGTGTTGAGAGAGAGTGTGAATGTCCAGCAATAATTATTAATGACAATCATATGAGCTAACATTCAATTAACATTATATATGCAAGGCACTGTTCTTTGTGCTTTATAAGCACTTCTCATTTAACAGTCCCTTGGAATAGATTTATGATTCTGTTTTACTGAGGAGAAAGAGAGGGTAAGAATTTTGCCCAAGGTTGCATGCCCAGCGGGTGAGCCGCCCGGGCAGCCTGTTCCCAGAGCCCACGCTCTCCGCCGCTGTCCTGCAGTGCTGCCCAGGACACAGCATGCTCCATCCTCAAGAAGAATCTGGGCACCTCCAGATGCGTCTGTTGTTACAAGTTCAAATTCAGATATCACGGGTCTTTAAACTACTTCTCAAAGTTTGACTGAACTTTCTAGGCAGGCATTTGTATACTTAATTCTGAATAATTAAAATGTAACTTAACTGCCTTCCTGGGTTATATTTGATAATATAGTCCAAATAGATCTTCTTAAAGCCAAAACTTTAAATTAGCTTTGAGTCATTTCATCCCATGAAATATAAGCAAGCCCATTTCTGGAAGAGTAGTTTGCAGCTCCATGCTGTGGGCTGTACTTTCCTTGTGAATTGCCTTGTGAAGTGCTCACAGTGGCTTGTACTTGGTATTGGAGTTTCCTCACAGGAATCAGCCGCGACAGCACCGGCACTAGGCGCTCGGGCAGCGGTGGCTCGGGTAAGTGCGGGCCCGGGACAGACAGTCAGAGCTCCTGTCTCAGCTTCATTTCTCCTTTTCTGCTGTTTAGCCTCAGGCTAATTACTACCCTCCCTGCGTCCGAGTTGCAGAATTCTTCTGCAAAATGGGATTATGGTGTAACTACTCAAAGTGCTACTATGAGAAATTAATACCTGATGCCAAGGGGTGCTCGACAAACATGGCACCTGTTAATCAGTTGACACAGTGATAACAGTTTAAACAAATCCAGTAGGTCCATTGAAATACAGGCACTAACTTGTTTTTTTTTTAAATAAGTACAACTTACTCTTCCTGCAAAAAATGCAGTTGAGTCCTTATAACAATATTATCAAGATGGATTAAATTAATCATATTTAGGTCATACGAGGCTCCATGTATTTCCTCAAATAGGATTCACCGGGTGTCGTAGGTTGGATATTACAGGATAGTGCAGCCACTGCCCAAACTACTGCATCGAATGTCCCCCTATTGTTGCACTGAATTTGTTATCAACATTACCAATATTAAAGTATTAACGCATGCACACATAAAAAATAGTATTCACACAGAGACACAAAAGAGATGGATAGTGAGCAAATAATCTGTACGAAAATTCAGTTGAACTGTGGCCTGTTGGGGTCCATGCTGTGCCATGCAGAAGGAGGCCATATCAGCAGAGATACATACATGATAGAAGACTACAGAGCCATACACGTGATATTCCATAAGACTATTTCATTACATGGACTGGTGTTTATGATAGGCAAAAATACTGAAAAACATCAGAAAACATTTACAAAACATTATCAGTATTATTTGGGTGATGAATTCTTTTTTCCTGCTTTTAGTTTCTCTCTCTCATCATTGGCATTTTCTAACATTTCTATCACCATCATATGTTCATGTGTAATAAGAAATATACAATAGAAGCTATTTTAAAAATAATGCCAATCCTTTTCCATCCTTGATACAAAAACTCCAGGTTTGAAGTTCGCTGCTCTAATCTATCTTTACATGGAACTGACCATTTTTCTTTACCTCCCATGAAAGCCAGGCACAACTTGTCATCTCGCTCACCAGAAACACCTTTCTCCAAATACCCATGACCCTCATTTTTTAAAAAACTCGAATGAAGCACTGACATATATGTGTGTTATGTTTCCTCTGTTAACTATATTTCTGCCTGTAAAGTATAGCTCTGCATCCCTGAAAAAGATGGATACAGGGGTTCTTTGTTCCTATCCAGCATCCATCTATTCATAAAGTACAGACACCTATTTCTCTTTGGCCATGTGAATAGGAAGGGATGGGTACAGGGAACTGTGAGTAAACCAGATTGTTCCAGAAAGAACTGGGCATGCAAGGAAACTAGGAAGGCCCTAACGACATCAACGGTCACACACACAGTAACCAGGGGAAAAGAAGGTCCAAGGTTGGGTCGTAAAATAGCAGAATCTCTAAGAATTCCAGGAGGCGAGGCAGAGGATGAAGCACGGGATAACCCCACTAATTACAGTGGCGTGTGAATGAGGCATAATGAAGTCAATTAAATATGAGAGTTGACAGTCATGTTCAAGGCTCGATGTACTTGGGAGCCAAAAAGGGAGGTGGGGGAGGCGAGGGGAAGGTAGAAAGTGGGGAAAGGAGAGGTGGAGGAAATGGGGAGAGGGGCAAAGGTAGGGAAGAGTGAAGGAAAGGTGGGGACTGTGTCCTTGTATTCCATATAAGCACACTTCTCTGTGTCACTGGTGCCATTAGGTGTCCTGGACAGGCTGTCCAATCAGGAGTGAAGTAAGGAAGGGACCTCTTACACTGGTATCGGTTGGTTACTATGGAAGTCAGCCTTGGAATGATTGAGAATAGTTGTTTTCAGTTGAGCTGGCTTTTTGCTAGAGCTTTGGGGCTAGTGTGCTTAGCTCTTGATTAATGGCCAAGGTTCTGCTCTCAGAAGAGTCTGCTTAGGTCTCCCACAAGGAAGGACCATGGTCCAAGATGCGTAGGTAAAAGAGAACAGGGAACTATTCTTTCCTGAAGGCCCACTAGGTGCTAGTCAAAAGGGAAGGCTTCTCCACACCCGCCCCCACCCCATACATTCTCTTATTTAACCTTCAAAGAACTGGTGAAGTAAATATTGCTTTTTCACTAAAGAGAAAGCTTTAGGCTCACAAAGGTTAAATGACTCAAATACATAAAAAGTGATGTTTAGGATTTAAACCCAGGATCACGGAAAACACATACAGCTTCTTTCTGCCACATCAAGTACTAGTCAACAAACCAACAGTCAGCAATCTCAGGTAAAGTAAGTTACACTCTCTGGACAGAAATCTCTCAAGTTAAAAGTAACGCTTAAATCACGTGACTGCTAGTCTCTTCCGTTCTGCAATGGGTCGACCCTACTCCATTGATCACGGATAACCTCTGACATACAAGCACAGGTATTAGTCCCTGACGTGCTTCTGATGGGTCTTCTGAAGGAGTCAGACATACGATTGGCCATGTGGCCTGTATGTACACTCCCTGCTTCCCTGAGCCACGCAGTGACACCTGCGGGGCACCTGAAAATCCTCGGATGCCCCAGACTTAGTCCCCTGTGGCCATACCGAGCTAGTCACGGTTTCGCTTCCCCTCCCTTTGTCACTTTGCTGCAGCTGAGATCCCTGGGGATGCTGGTCAGCACCATTTTACACCAAGGTGCCCACACAGAGGAAGTGGAGTTTTCTAGTCCTTCTCAGATGTTGGGATTCATTTCTAAAATCATTTGGAGCAAATAGGTCCATAAATAAGCCAGCAGGGATTTGATCCAAATGGCCATAAGCATACAAACGACTTAACTAAAACTGCTAAAGGCTGGTTAGAATTTGAAAGTACATATTATAAAATAATATAATATTCAATTTAAAATATTAAAATATATGTCTATACTATAAAGGGAGCATAGTAATTTAAATATGCAACTATTTCCCTTTAAGCATGATTAACAGTGATAGGATTTCCATCCAACTTATATTTCCGACTGTGAATAGGGTTTTAAAGATTTCATTACCTTCTGGGCAATGACTCTGATATTGAGACTAGATATTTCTTAAGACATGATACATATTTTTTAAAATTTAAGTTAAATTTAATATACCTGAGAGAAATACCATAAATGGTCATCAATAGAGTGGTTGTTTTGACAAAACTAAATGTAAATATAAATATAGATCATGAACCAGATTTTCAAATTCGTCTCATAGCATCCCTTTATAACTCTTCAAATTGTACATATATAGTCTATCCTTTATCATCAAATAAACTTCTTAAAAAAATTTAATATACTGAAACCAGACCAGATTCCAGATTCTACCATCAATCTCATTGAAGGACAAGTGTCTAAATCATTACCCATTTCTACATTTATCAAATGCAAACATTACTTGCTCTTGGGGAAGAGGTCAGAGAGAAGAATGATTATACCAAGGTATCACAAAAATAAAAGTTAACTGAAATCAGGATAGAAAAAAACAAGCCCTGAGTAATATTAATAGATGTTAAAAGTCTCCTGTGGAGACAGGAGCTCTATCAGGTGCACGAGGAATCATGAGCAAATCTTCATCAGCACCATGAGTAACACGGATCACAAGAATATCGCCATAAGGAATACATGCCAACTATTGCTCATCTAGGTGCCTGGAAAAATACAGAGTCCACTGATATTTCAAGTGATTTGAGGAAGAAAATAGAGCCAAAATGTTTTGTTGGATGGTCTGGAGATGGCCTTCCACCAATACCATCAGTAATCAATTTATCTCAATAACACGAGGTAGCGCATCTTAGGAGACACACCGTGAACAACTGTGTAGAACAAGAGGATCCAGGTATGGAGAGAAGAAACCTCAACCTCGGGGCTGTTTTTTAAAAACAATTACATGATATTTACATGAATAATAAAAAAGTTGACACATAAAGGACGTATATTTTGTTTGTCACATAAAGGAAAGTGCTTTCAAAATAAAACTACTAGAAAGGAGTTTCACTTTACCTAAAGCCCACACAAAC